TATGTCATCTTGATAAACAGTAACGCAGTTTGAAACCTGAAAACAGTCTATTTATTAGACGTTTGATCAATCTACTTATTAAACTGGTTTGACTTGTCGAAGCCTGAAACGGTGTTCCTTTCTCAGCACAAATTAATTAGTTCTGCAGAAGAAGTACTGTTCCCAGTTCCTAAAGTTCCATGTAATAAATATGTTTTCCAGGTTTCCAACCCTGTTATTATTTATCTGTCATTATGAAGAACCGGTTGGTGTTTTTTACGTTATCGTCTTAAGGGTTGCTTAGTTACGTTATCGTCTTAAGGGCTGCGTATCAAAAACGGTTTTTAATCCAGTTGCATTTTCCAACTCAGTCTGAATGATCATCTGAAAACAGGATCCATCCATCGATTTTTAGGGCCCGTATTCCCCTTTGGCTAGTGGGGGTAGCGCGCTCAAGAGTTGATGCTACTGTTGCCATTCTTGAGCTATGGAATCGACCTCAGGTGGTAAGTTTGGAAATTGGGCGCAGAGATCTTAGATGCATTTGTACCAAGTCTTTCTAGGCCTTCCTCAAAATCTTCTTTCAATCAGTCCAGCATGAAACAGTTTTCTTTGGCTCCTTTATGGCGACATTCGGGAGACATAGCTGAACCGTTTTCGTTGCGGTCTTTCAATCATAAAAAATGACGGCTTGATTTTTCTGAATTCTTGAATCACGAATTTTGTGCAAACGCGTTACTCCAATGATTGCTCTAAAACTCCATCTCGGCCGCCTTGTACTCGCAGTCTTATCGCTGCAGCAACTACTCAAGCTTCATGAATAGATGAGAGTTGGAACGAAAACTTTCCACGAAGGCTCAGCTCCGTCTTTGTTATGATGGTCCGATACAGTTCACGAATCAATCCACTTACCATACCGATTCGTCGTTCGATCTCCTCTTTCCATCTTCCATCAATATTAAATGTGATCCTGAGATATTTAGACTTTTCACTTGTTTCTGTGTAACTCCATGAAATGGCTAACATGAAATGCGACTAAGCAGGGGATCGAGGGACAATAGCTACTTCCGATTTAGCCGTATTTATCCGCATTCTGGCAACTTTGCATTCGGTTTGCCATTTGCAAACCTATCAGGTGCACTTTGGAGATCCTTTTTGAATGATTTCATCTGGAAGAAGCCGTCTGGAAGCAAAACGCCTTCGGTTTCATCACCTTTGCCTTGTCTACCTCTATCTATTCTGTCAATATAGAAAATGAACAGAAGTGGTGACAAAACACGGCCCTGACGGACTCAAAAGCCAGCAGTGAAAAGTTTCGACTTAACACCGTTTGTTCTGACACAGCTCCTGCTATCATAATGCAGTGACTGAATGGCGCGCTGCAACTGGCTATTAATACCGTACTCCTGCAGGCATGCCCATGGGTGCTTACGATTATCCGGGTTGTATGCCTTTTTCCAGGTCTATGGCACAAATGCAAACCGGTTGGGCGAATTCACAAGTTTTCTCTCAGATCTGCCTTAGGGGAAATATCTGGTCGGTTGTGCATCGGCCGGACCGGAAGTTCTTATTCTGTGCTGTGTTCCACTATCTGAGGGCATTTTCTTTCCGACATCTTTGCATACAGTTTTCCAGGAAGACCGTAAAATTATGCCCGTTGAAAACAAGATCCTAATGAAAAGCAGCAACTTATGTTCACAGTAGTATCTCACAGTGTGTCAAACGTAGAACATTATTTCGTAATTTAACATGTTAAGTTATCAAATTGCAGTTGCACAGTAAACTGGCCATAGCTCTCTTGTTCATAGTTTCATTCGCTTTGCTTTTTTCCACTAGCATTAATGTTTATTACATAATTTACAGTTATATCAATTAATTTCTTTGATCTGTGCTGAAAAACAAGATACTTTGGTGATCTTGTTACAGTAATAAACGTTTGCTTTTGCTAATAATTAAAGATAGAAACATCCGACTTTCGCTCAGTCGATATCCTTCTGAGTCACATAGAAGAATAGTTTTAATGACGGCAAAACTTTTCTTAGCAATCTTTGTTTCTTCTTCCGCCAACGGGATATACTTTGGAATAGCGTACCAAGGTAAAGTGAATCTGAAGGTCAGTGCTGAGTAAAATTTCATTTTGACTCACCCCGGTGGGATCAAGTTCCTGCCCCCATCTTGAAACTTGCACCTGTTGACTTGCTGATCGTTAAACTGTTTAGCTCTATGGTTAAGCTTGAAGCATAATGCCAATTTTACCAATGATTAGGCTGTTCTATCATTTCTCGTAAGACCAGATGTACCATGCTATATCAGGCAAATAAGAGGCCTATAATACTGCAATAAAAAGCGGTATTACCATCCATTACAAAAGACTGTTATATGTTGAAGCGCGGTATCTCGCTGACAAGTGGTTGGCATTAAACTCCGGAGACACCTCTGTTCGAATTTCGAAACAAAAAGCCGCTTTAACTTCTCGTTCCCTGGAGCAAGGGATTCACCCAGTGTTGCTTCGATGCAACAGGCCAAGAAACAAGTACTAAGACTTGGACAGGGACGCAGTGGTGTTTATTTATGGGTAGTCAAATCAGAATGGCTGAGAGGTACGGTCGCGCTTTCTGATTCGAGTGCCTCATAGGATTGCCATTTGCCTAGACCACCTGATAACTAACTCCCTGTGTGATAATCAGCACACGGTGCTATCCATTTTGGATAGCATCAGTTCACGTAATAAAACACATAAACTATGCCGTTAAAGATAGCCAAGAAGTTTAAGGAGCCAGTCTTTGGGCATTACAATCCAGTCGAATCCAAAAGCAAGTCAGATTCAGAGTCTGAGTTTCGCTCTTACGTAAATGAACAATTGACGTAACTGCAACAGTGGAACTAATTATCAACGTAGTAAAAAACGAAGACATTATCCAAAGGATACCGGACAGGCCAAAAAAAACCAGCCTCCTGTGTGTCACTCTCCTTGAAGAGATCATCGCCTCAAATACGTTGGTTCTTCAATCCCGACAGTTTAAAGATGAAATTACGGCTCAAAAGTAAGGACAGCAGCAGCAAGGAGGGCTGCTTTTCGCCAGTTACGTAAAATGTGGAAACGAGGGGGGTTCAGTCAGAAGACGAAGTGTTGAGTTCTGTAGGCCGTCATCAGCTCCATCCTATTTCATGCATGTGATTACTCGGCCCTAAGAGTAGCATATACGAGGAAACTAGCATATTTCGACCGC